AAATGCCTAGACGCCGAGATCCACTGTGAAGGATACAGTGTGAGGCTGGTTTGGGAAGACGAGCAGAATAGCGGTCACCGTGTTCAACGACGAACGCTTATACCAAGGCAAGACCCTGGGCATTCATCTCTCACCGTGGACGAGCTCAGCTCTGCGTTGGCTGAGATCGACTCGGCCGACATCAAGCCGAACATCGCTTTTGCAGCAAGCCGTGGGCCATTCTCCGTTTTCCAATTCTCGCAATCATGGTCACCCAGCCATGAACCCTCTCTTCCCCAGCGAGTTGGTCAGATTAATAGTCTGATAGCAAAGGACACTGCCACGACTAACCCCGCAGAAGGGAGTCAACAAAGCCATGTTTATGCGTCTGCAGCCTCAATCGTGTCCGCCTCACCGAGAATCGTTTCCAGTCTTGACGGAAGTGAAGAAGACAACAATGAGCACTCATGCATGGCTGAGGCCAACCTTGCCGAATATGAGCATCCTGATGCGGCAATGGCCATGATATCCATCAAACAGAAAGTTCAACCACATATCACGACTTATATATCATCCGCCTCACCAGACGAGCGTACGCTTTTGCACTATTGGATCACTGAACTAAGCGAAATGATGCTACCAACGCCACGCCAGGATAACCCCTTTCGCACGATATTTATTCCCCTGGCGCTTGCAGCATCGGACTCGAGCAGGAGTTCTTCTGCCAATGTAGCCTTGCTACACGCGATATATGCCGTCTCTGCCTTCAATCGGGCTCGAATTCCAGCTTCTCCTGGATATGTGGAGGCACTGGGTACCAAACATCATGAAATCAGTCTCCGTCATCTGTGGATGGCTTTATCGCAGAACGAAGCCGAAGCCGACTCGTCGCACCGGGAAGCTATTCTAGCCACCATCATTACCATGTCATCCATTGAGGTCATGATAGGGGCCTCTGCAACCTGGCGTACCCATCTGGCCGGTGGAAGGTCTTGGTTACGTTCGACCATAGCAAGCAATGCCACCCAGAGTGAATGTTTCTGGACGTTGTGCCAAATTTTCATTTGTATCGACACTCTGGGAAATCCTGGCATCCATGGTCTCACACCAAGCAGTATCCTTGAACCGCTTGAGACTCGCAACTGTCCCCTTACAAAAACCATACTGGATAAGCATTATTGCTTGGAGGAGCTCTTCGGAATTACGAAATCGACGTTGGAGGCGATCATGAGAATCAAGCATTTGTCAACTTCTACTCGTCAAGCGACAGAGGAAGAAATAAGCGACTTGGAAGTTCACATCCGAGTCAGCGACCCTGATACCCTTGTTCTGGATATGGATGGAAGCGAAGACGGTCTGGTTCGCCATCATACATGTGCCTTCTTTTGTGCGGCTGTCATCTACTTCGAACGGCGGCTCAAAAACACACCGGCAACAAAACTCCAACGTCTTGTGCGAAGGAGCCTCGATCACCTTGAAGCCATCCGTACCCTCGAAGTCGAACGAGGCTACAAGGTGTGCGGATTGTTTTGGCCCGAGTTCGTCACGGCATGTGAGGCTGAAGATGTGGCCGGCTTGCGCGCACGCTCGCTACGGATGTTTGAAAAGGGTCAATCTAAGGGCATAGGAAATATCACATCCGCGAAGAAGGTTGTCCTGGATCTCTGGCAGAGCAGAGATTGTAGCACCTCGAATGAGGACATCTCGTGGGAGAACTCGATGGCCAAACTAGGACTCGATATCATATTAACTTAGGTAGGGCGGATGCATGGCTCTGGGAGGGTTTGGTAAAGCTGAAGTAGCACCTGTGGATGTGATCAATGGATGGATAGGGCGCTTGATAGGGGACATTTTCATAAGTAAGCAGAGGATTTCTCTCAAACCGGTAGACGTCGGGTATTTTCAACATCAGGGTGTGGATTTTTAGGCGCCATTCGTGTGAACAGGTTTGTGAGCCAAATGTCCCGAGACACAACAATGCAGTATACAGCGCCCAGATATATGCTATAGTAGAACCTCTAATGAGCTCCATGCCAGACTTCTCCCGGAATGACGCCCTTGTATTCGCTGACTTCATTCAATGCCTCTTCGATGATTTTGACACCCTTCTCGAGCTGTGCATCCGTCATCACCATGGAGACGCTCATCCGTAAGCGACCCTCCAGTGCATAAAGCAACAAACCTTTGGCCAAACACAGGCCTCCGACACGGCGGGCAGTCACACTTGCCGCGGCGTCCTCGTTTATTTTCACGCTGAAGTCAGCACCCCGAACCTCCACACTGCCCACATGTCTGTGGAGCTTCCAATGCTGTGTTAGTTCCTCGAACTTTTTTCCCAGATCTTGCGCACGCTGGACCATGTTCTCCTCATCGATAGCTCGGATCGCGGCTTCGGCAGCGGCGATCGCTAGTGGGGTGTGGGCAAAGGTTGAGCCACTTTCATACGGCTTCAGGACCGCCATGATGTGTTTGTCGCTCAGGACAAACGAGGCGGGATATGCTCCGCCGGTGATAGATTTTCCGATGACGAGCATGTCTGGGCGGCA